TATCTTGTAGAGATTTTATATTTCTTGACTGTGAGATTGTAACTTATCATTTACAAACGTTCATCCTCAAAGGTAGTAGTTTAACAACAAAATGAATGTTTTATGTGTAAAATTCTTTTCTTATTTATTTCAGTACGATTAACGTATATTGAGGAGAATACTGTTTTCACAGTAGGCTGTGTATACTAGATGTAAACATGTAAACTAATGTTATTTCGCTCAAATTCTTAACATGACAGTATACACGGATCTGTTTTTAATCGTTGGAAGGAAGTGGTAAAAAGGATGGATATCTATTGAAATCATGGACTGATAAACGTTAGACCACCATATGAAAACTGGAAGCACTAGATGGCTGTTTTGTTTTCGTATGGGACTCTTCAGCAGTGCACATGCATGACCATTCACAAGGGGGTCAAGCTGGAGACCCTCGGCCTTGGACGAAAACGCGTAACTTTTAAACCACTGAACCAACATCCAAAGGTGTCAATATCTAACTTTATTCATTTGGCTGGTGCTTTTAAAGTATTGTGGATTGATCGAAGTTGATACCTTTGAATGCTGACGCAGTGGTCTATAGGTTAAGCTTTCGTGCTCGAAACAGAGTGTCCTGGGTTTGATTCCTGCGTGGATGGTCATGGATTTGCACTGCTGCAGAGTCCCATACTATGATAAAACAGACGTCCTGTGCTTACGGATTTTAAATAGTGGTCTTGGATTTATTGGTTCATGATTTCAATGAAACCCAACCATCTCCAAAGCTCTCACACCGAGAAGGATGGATATGTTGACGTTTTTGAATAAGAGATACGTGTAGACGAATAAAACATTTGCGCTCAGTTATTCAAACAGGAGAAAAGTCTTTATCCTATGAAAAAGTTTAAAGTATGCTTAAATTATACAGCGAGATAAAGATAAATATAAACTGTGTATGCAATGTATATTTTATTGCCTATTAGTAAGATATCCATTTAACCTAGAATGAAGATTTAACCTTGAAGGTTGTTTAAAACTTGCGGAAACGATCTTAATCAAAAATATCTGACTTTAAAATGCACTTATAAATAAAAAAGCTCTTATCCTTAACTTAATTTTTAAGTTTCTGATCGTAAGATTAATCAGAAACTATCAAAGATCAAGATTAAATAACGGATAACTAACGTGATGAATAAACAGAACTACAGTGATACAAGTCGTCGCAATAATTTCGAAGGTATGATACCAGTAAAATACATAAATTTTGGTTGTAATTTCTTGTTCTTTGAAACTAAGTTAACATATACCGTTCTATTCTTTAATTTCAGGAATAAACATCATTTTGTTGTCGAAGCAGTCAAGTACCAACCTCCATGTTTCTATAAATATAACCGTAATAACTGTTAGTCACTTAATTATTACATTTGAAGGCGTATGTGTTAAGTACTTGTAATTGATTGATAAGAGCTATGAAGGGTCCGACATAAGATCACCCAGGAGTAGAAACAAGTTTGATGTTTATAAGCTGTAAAGCCGTGTTTTTTGATAGCTTTGGTAGAAAAAATACTGGTTTACTTCTTGCTTTTTCAAACTTTAACTTAAGCATATATCACTAGGAGTACACTAAGTAATATGCACTCCAGTGGAGTATGACTGCTTAAATAGACTGAAATATCAAATCTACTGTGTTTGTTTTGAACTTATATCTTCAACCGAATGATTATTTTGGTTAAGTATGATAAGAACTATTTAATATTATCTAAAAAATCAATCATCAGGTTGAACCGAGCTTAAATGAATCAGATTATAACAGTGAAACATTTTAACATTAGAAAATAACTATCAAATCGGTACAACTAATAAACCTTATATGTTTACTTGTGATCATCAGACCACAAGGACGAGAAAAGCTTCATCATCTCTTAAACAGTTTTTCTGCCTCATCCTATTGAACCACACGTATTTAGTCAATTTATTCCAAAGTAAAATACGTTCAAACAGTTAGCTTTCTATAGTCCACTCATATTGTTTTTTCTTTCAATCAGATTAAAATATAAAAATAATATTCAACCATTAGCCTGGATTATACATGATTTCTGTTTTTGTTGTTTGTTTTTCTAACTGTAGCCACATATAATTGAATATTAATTGATCAGTTGTTTAGCTTATCTGTCATAAATATAGAGTGATATACAATTGAGATTATTTATTTATTTATTTTATATATTTAATTATCTAGTCATTGTTTTAATCGTTTGCAAATTAATTTTAATTGTTTAAATGAACTTTACATCTATATTACAGAGAATTTAGATTTTGTTTTGTTAAAACTGATATGAATCGATTGTTGGCTGACTAGTCAGTTATGAATATTTAGTAATTTCTAAATCAATGAAATATTATCTAATCATATTCACTGGTTAGATTTAGATCAAAAAAAAATTCAAGTTTTTTTCCAGTAAAAAACACTAGAAACAAAGTACTGTAAAGATTGTTTAAACATATATCGTATAGGAAATTGAATGAACTGAAAAATTCTGATTTATTCAGATGGCATTATTGTTACGGCACCCACTGTAAAGTTTTAAAGACGTATAGACGCATTTTCCAGCTTAAATAAATAACTGCGGCGCCACAATAACTCATATGTTTACACAAATCGAGGCTTCAGGATAAATAGTACTAACTATAATAACCAATATTTTTTCATTAAAAATGAGCGTAAAATGAAATAATAATGAATAATTTAAAAGATGGATTACATAAGTTTTATTATATTGTAATAAATAATTTAATTGAATCATTTTTATCGTGTCTAAAATAATTGGATAAACTTTAAGTTCCTACTGTTTTTTGATTAACGGAAAGTTTTTTGATTTAAAGTCAAATTCTTTCTTACAACATGCATGAAATGGTGCTACTAAAAAAAGTATACAATTACACAAGAAAAATTACTATCAGGAATGGCACCTAATTGCTTATTAATACAATGACAATTTATTGTACAGAAATGTGACTTAAATAAATTTACAATTAAGAATTTTTATGAACCTTCCGTCTACTTAATTGGTCACCAATGTTATATTTACTTAGTCCTCTAGTTCTGGTCAATGAATTGTAAGTGTATCAATCACGGCTCCGATATCTCAACTGTACTGTCTGAAATTACAAAGCTGAGTGAGTTGAAGTTGAACCCATCAAGGATCAGTAGTTTCTCCAAGATAACAGCTACTCATTGCTGACGAGCAAGAAACTGAAATCTGTTAATTCCTAATAACCACTTTTCAAGCCCTAGTGTCTGTTAAAAGATTCGGCATAACCATTTTTATCCATTTATTTCCTAAAAAAATTAAAATTAAGCATTTAAACTACTCGGACTCATGTCAACAAACTTCCTATTTGATAGTATGAAAGATTGAGAGGATGGTAGAAACACTGATTTACTTTGAATGATTCCCAATAAAAAATACGCAACCTGAAGTTTATGTGAAAATTAAGATTCAGATGAACGGAAATATCTCTCAATCTCTTGGAGAAATAAAATAACTTACCACCTAAAATATTCTGGTAGATAAAGTTACACAAAAAAGCACTTTCATTTTTTTAAACGAAACTTTGTACGTCTCCGCTTTTATCATATCAGGATAAGTTTTATTATATGTTGCAGTACAGTTTCAAATAACTCTCTTATAACTCCTAAACTATTATTATAGAGACAACTGAAAAATTTCAGGATATACGTGCTACAGTGTGAAAGTTTACTATGCTGTTTTTCGGCATTAACAGTACTGTTCATAATTAAAACTGCATGATATCCTTTACTGACAAAAGTTTTATTTAAATGAAAATGAAGTAGGTTCAATGAATTCGTATAATACAACTCCTTTCTGTTTGTCACAATCACGTGGTTGAATATTGGTTTTTCATTCAATTGATGTATCCATCATAGACATGAATTTATTTAACTGAAAAATGTATAACTGTATTTGAAATTGTTTTTGATTACTGTGGTCAATTTATTGCAACCATAGCAAATAAAATACTATTTAAGAATATACAGTCATTTAAAACTAGTTTTCTTAATATTATTCATAAGGTTTCCTCTTTTAAAATAAACAATGTACAAAACGAGATAAATTGTCAGTTAGAGCTTTGGAAATCTGTGTTTTTATACATTTGAAATTATCAATCAATCATTGTTAGACCACCTTCAGAAACCTGAAAGCACTGGACGTCCGTTTCGTTCTGGTATGGGACTCATCAGTAGTGCGCATCCACGGCTCCTGCAGCTCACAACATTCGAACCCGGGACCTTCGGCATTGTGCGCGATCGCTTAACCACCGGACCACTGGGCCGGCATCCAACGGTATTAATGTCTAACTCTGATTGATTTGGGGATTTTACGCGACCTCACCCATTTGTCTTTGGTAGTTACTGCATACATCCGACAGGGTTAAACCCCATTAGTCACGTCTTCTCACTAGAACTTCGAGAATTTCCTCACAAAGCTAGTCACTAGTGAGCACTGTTACGATATTTTCAGTTAGAGCGTTGGGGATTTGTGTTTTACACATTTGAAGTCATCAATAAATTGTATTAATTTATTCAAAATTTTGTTCTGTTTTGCTTAAATATACCTGTAAAGTACAACCTTTTGAAATATTTTAAAGATAAAAATGACTAATCAACAAATAGATGAAAATCAATTTGATAATTGTATTCAATAATTTATCTAGTAAACTGTATATATTCGTTACTATAAAGATTGATCCTATCAATGAAATCACATAAAGTTGTTGGTTTTCAAAGTTATTTAGCTAAGCATTATTTCAAGTCTGTGATTTCCCACTATGATGTAAGCCTATTTTGCACTTAACCTTAGTTTAGGGTAAAAATTAACTATGATTTGTAGTTTACACTTTAGTATTTTTTTGTTATGTGCCCAGATATGAATAAACTAAACGAAACGAAACTTTCGAGAGGAAATTCATTCACCACACTAGTGCACATAATCATTGACTAACAAAGATATACAATGACCGTAGACAAACATGTCTACATGTTTAGAATGACACAAATATAGTTACACATTGTGCTGTGTACAGTATACAAATACACATAAATATATAACCACAAAAGACATTGGTAGACGGTACTGACTATTATTAGAATGATTATCTATTGAAAGTTTATCTACGTAATCGGATTATTCAGAGTTTCATTTCAAAAATGCAAAATTCAGTAGGGAAAATTTCTACAAATTGTACATACATAATTTTGTTAATATTATTATTTAATCTACATAATGGATCAACTCAACTAAATCCATATTTTCAATTTATACCACGAAATGAAAATTTACACATTAAGACCTATGATTATTCGAATGGATTTGATGAAGATCATTTTACTTACGAGTTACAATATCCAATCCCAATATATGAAACGTTAATTAAGAAAATTATCGTAAGTCATTGGTTTTTTTTTAGAAAATAATTAATAATGTGGAAAGACAGCATCTAAAATAATTTGATGTCAGTCTAATATTTCTTGTTTTTATTTCCTGAATTTCCAAAACACTTGATTACACTTCCTAACTTTTAAATAAATGTTCCTAGTATTTTAGTTTATCTTTTAACTATTTAGTAAACTAACCCAAGTTAGAAAATGCCAGGATATGGAATAGGTTTGATTAATTTGATAGTAATCCTCCGCATCACCAACTCACCAGCGATTCTTGTAATGATCGCAATTACAGTTTCTAATTAAAACGCTTAAAATACTTAGTATAGAATTGCCAAGTACCATATCGTATCTAGAAAAATTTCGGATTATCTCATTCTTTGCTATTCTCGACTCTAATCTGATTAATCTTTGCTGTTGTATTTGCATTCTGATGAGATCATCTTTTATCAACAGATCGAATTTCGCTTATCGACATAATGGAATAATCCTGAACCCGTTCTGATAACTCTACATATATCATACCTACAATAAAGTTATCGGCTAACTGATCTCAGTAGGTTATAGTATAATGTATAAGGTACTCTATTCTAGTTCTTGTGAGTAAATCAACCCGGAGGTATAGGCATGTCCGATTGATGAGTCTCAAATATGACGGAACGCAAGTACTGAATTCTACTGTTAGATATGATATTTAGTACCATATATGTCGTTTTGTTTTTTGTTTCTCTTTACTTAACTGAAATCTCAGTGCTAACATTGGTAATACAGTCACAATCAAACTTAAGTTCCATTGAAATTTATTTGCATAATTTCGAATAGGTGAACGTTTGTGTGTATTTTAAAAATTTCGGTTACTTTTAAGTACTTGGGCGTTTCATAAAAAAATTAACTGATATTTTGTCAAACTGGGTAATTGTTTCTTTCTTTTTGTCTTTTTCATGGTTTTCACTTCAGTAGTTTAAATCTACAGAATTACACTTTTGAACGGAATGTCTCTCTACTACTTATGTAAATACTTATGAGGTCACTACTATTGTGTTTTGTTTGAGAGGAGAAGGATTGCGGTTACCAGTGTATTCCACGAGACACTTTTAGTCCTATTCGGAAATGGTCATCTGGATGTACCTATATGGGTAAATGACTTTTTGATCTTAGGTAGCTAGTGCAGGCGATCAAAATTTGATACGAACTGGTGAACAAATAAGTTTTTAGGATCAAGTACCTTTTCTGGCAGAAGACTAAAACACAAACTTTATAAAGTGAGAAAATGGAAAGTGCACCGTTAATGATTCCACGTCATTTGGAAGGTCCATATTAACACATACTGTTTACTAAAAGAACCTGAGAGCATAGAAAAAGAAAACAATTGCATTGTTCCGATGAAAATATGCATAAGCTTATTTAGGTAACTGATATTTTTGTGAATAAACCCTGGTTTGTCATTTGAAGTTCAAATAAGCCAAAGTATGTAAAATCAGTCTCACAGTACTAAAAATAACCACGCGTCTAAGCCTGAGAATTAATTCCTGAAGGCCTGCTTAGAAGCCGTGACCAGTTAAGTTCAAATATGTTTGGTGCATGAATATATACGGTTTTAGACTGTATGACAACATATCATCAACCAATAGAAGGTATATGACAAAAAGAATTCAAGTCAAATTAAAAATCTACTTTATCAAAATATTTACAACAATTGAATTTTACTGATTTGTGAAATTCTTTCATTCAGAAAATATTCTGCTTATTTTTGACGATCCAGTTTGAAATGATTTGTTAGACATGCACATAAGTGATTACCTATTGTTATTCCAACCGCAATTAGTTCAACATGTTATAGAATATTAGAACCCTTAAGATTTTTAGTTTATCCTAAATTTATTGGTAAATTATTTCTTTAAACCAAATACCGAATATGCAACCGTATAATTTCTAGATAAATTTATAAATTATCAGATAGTTTTACCAAATACTTTCTTCCAAAATTTACCATCGGAATTCTGAGTTCATTCAACTCCATTCAGTACAAAGATATTTCTTCGAATTGATCGATTATCTTTACTGACTTAACGTTAAACAAAAATATTGATCTATCCATTTTTTTTACTGTATCTGGATAATCTATTTTTTTGATGATTAGTGAAAGACGAACTAATCATTACTTAAAATCATCACATCTTGTCGATTAACTGTACACATTGATTAATTGCTATTTGTCTCCATCAATTTCATTAATTAAGCTTTTTAAATAACAGGTGTTCACATCTGTTTAAGTAGTTACATTACAGGGAGAAAAAAAAGTAATTCTATTTCTGTTTTTCACATTTACAGTTGTTATACAATAATGTAAATTACTTTTACAGATTGTTTAGTTAAGAAAGATTCAATTATTATTATTATTATTATTATTATTACTACCTTGAATTATCAGATTTACAAATTGTACTAAATATTTAAAGATACAGAAGTTTGTTTCACTTATCATTATCTATTTGTTTCTTTAAATAAAGTCGATCATCAGCGAGATTGATAGTTTAATAATGGGACATTATTATTAGGAGTTAAAAGCGGTTAGGAAAAATGAAATTCTGATTTTCTTAGTTATTATAATAACAGCATTTAATTTCCTTGTGAATGTTGAACAAATCGTTGTTTTAAGCGCATATAAATTTCAAAACAATAGGTAGAAAGGAAGATTTATTGAAGATTGCTGCTTAGTTAATTTATTGAGCTTTATACAGTTTTCCAAATCACTCGTTGACTCTAATCACCCATTTAAAAGGCTGATTAATCATGGGCCTTTAATGATTTTTTTTCTGTTATACTTTGATAATCTTTCTTGTTAATAAATAGTCTGATGAGTTTTAAATTGAAAAAAAGATTTTTGAAACCATGAATCGATCAATGTTAGACCACCGTTAGAAACCTGGAAGCACTGGACGGCCGTTTCGTCCTGGTATAGTGGTCTAACACTGATTGATTATTGGTTTCAAAAATGTGCAACTTAACAATCTTCACAACCCCGTAATGAAAATAAGATATCATCGAAATCCAGACCAGCAATGTTTTCAGGTTTTTGTGGAAAATGTGACTTTAGTCTAAATGATTGAATGCTGACGAATAAAGGATTCAAGTAACACTGATATTCTAACAAACAAATTTTATTGCAAACTTCTACTTAGTAAAAAGTTAACTGACCAAATCAAAACAACAAAATCTGGTAAGGTTCATTTGATAAAGTTACTAACAGGTCATGTTTTTTGAACGAATCATTCTAATTGATGAATAGCAAAACAAAATGATCGAAACAAAATTCAAAATTTCCATTTCATAACACCAGATAATCAGTTGTACAAAATTAATTCTTAAAAGAACTAAGATCTTTTGCTAAAACTGGCTTATAACTTGCATGGAAAATGTGCAGTAAACAGTCAAAATACTGTTGTACTATCAACTGATTACATTTGCAAACAGGTAACCAGGATTTATAGTTTAACTTAGACTAGCCAGTCCACGATCAACACTGGTATTTATATATATTTACATACAAAATTACAGGGCCATATTCTATAAAAGTATTTATTATTGATTAGAAATGAATTGTTTAGATCAAATCATTCGATAGATATTTGTTTTGTACCAAAAAATTGTGTAAGAATTTTAAAAACAATAACAACTAAGAAGGATGGATCATTATTCAAAATTCACTTCATTGTTTGGTACTTGTTTAGAAAAGATAAGTGACTTTCATTTAAACTTTAGTGGTTATATATGTATTGATATACACCATTAATTTTGAAGTATTATGCTTTACGGTATTCGGCAGACTTTGGGCTACTTTAGTTCTATATTAAAGTTCATGACTCTAGAAGGCTATAAACTTAACAGTTGTAGGATCAGGATTATTTTAAAGAAAGGATAAGCCAATAAATAATTTGATCCTAAATTTTTATCACGTATGAACAAATAAAATAGAATTGTTGCTTATTGACTTCAAAAATGATATATCTTTTCATTTGAAATAACGACTTATTAACGATTAACCGTATAACATAATAGGACAGAACATGAGATTAGAAACTATTTCAAGATTATGAAATTTTCGCCTACTTTAAACTTTCACTGTTTTTTCAATACATCATGACCAAAATTTCATAGATAACATTTTCACAGCAAAAAGTAATTTTGAATGTTAAAACACACGGAAGTAATGAGTATTTGATAAATCACTTCCAGTTCAAACAGCTGTTTTCGAAATATAAGATACATAAATACGTCAATCAGAAAATAGAATGCGATGAAAAGACAAAAATAAGCCATCAATTTTTTAGTAATTTATATGTAAGAAAAGGTGAACTTCTACAGGTAGAAGTAGTAACTAAGATGTCATAATCATTTTTTTCCATGTAAAAACATGGCTTTTAAGATTCAATAACAAGAAGAGAAGGTTTATTATTACATATAATGAAGTTGCTAACTGGCGTTTAGTTTATGTTTTCTCGTTGTATGATAAATCTTAGCCGATAAAATAGGCTACTTCACACTTTCAATTTTTAATGCCAAGTTTATCTTAGCTTCATCTGTTGTCTGACATGAAGTATAATTTGATAAAATCTGTTCAAAACATTCTTACTATACATTGATTTATTTCTATGATGTCAACCTATTAGCAGGTAATAACAAAAATGGTCTATAGGATTTTTACAAGTATTTGTGTCATTGAGTATAACAGTCTAACGTCGCTAGTCAACGGATTAGTTATTATTCGTTGCAATATCGTATGTATTTTATCTTAGAGTCTGTGAAATTCAATATCGGTTTCCACATTGTTCTCCTTGTTGCTTAGCATAGTGAAGTACTTATTATCGCTGGTTTAGGTAGCTTAGATAGTTTAGACTTTTTAATTTAGTGTTCCTGCAGCCACTGCTAAAAGCCACACAAAAGCAAATGAATACCTTATTTTGGACAAACTGATATTAAGTTCAATGGTTTGGTTACTTATACCGTTGGCTCTCAAAAATTTTGATAGAGTGATAATGGTTCAAATCATAGAGATAAAAGATACAAATTTATGAAAGTTACCATTAATAGAACATCTTTCTGTGTAAATCAGAAAGAAATCCCTTGGTTTTAGTGAATTAAGTATACGTTCAATTCACTGTATACTTCGCGCAAATAAACTATAAAAAATGACATGGTAGTCTGATGTGTAGACAATGTTGACTGTCCCGATTACTTTGATAAGATAATATTTTTTAGCCAAAAATTATAACCTGAAGGACTATTAAATTACCATCAATATTGGTTGTGTGAATATTAGCGACAATACTTTAATATCCGAGCTAAAGTAGACAAAGAGCCGTTCAAACCAGCTATATGTTTTACGAAATTGAGTATTTAAACCATCACTGAACGACTAAACATAGAAATCACTGTTGCATTACCTAGAATTTTTCAGAAATGTGCTTAGACATTTTTCACAAATTGCTGATGAAAACGTTATTAGGAAATATTAATCGTCTTCAAGGAAGTCTATAGTGTAACCATTCATACAAACGTATAGATATTTTCTCTGTTAGATAAATTATAAATGAATTTTAATCAGGGCTACTCATAGACGCGGAAATTATCTACAGAGATGATAAACAGATCAAAGCACATACTGAATAGAGTCAGGATTTAATTTCAACGCTAGTACTTGTTTGAATTCTTATCGCCCATAGGAAAACCAACTACATTCTTCCAGCAATTATAAACCATAAAGCAAACAAATTTTTAACTAAATATCACCAGATTTTTGAGAAGCTATGGTTTCGAAATTCAAAAACCTTGGCATTTTAATGGTTATTTTAATTTTTTTCCAAATATTAAAGGCATTTGTCTTTCTACTCATCGTCACAAAAGTAATTACACAAAGCATACTGTTTGTTTGCCAACCGTTTCTTCTTTCAATACAGACGGTCATTGACAGCTAAATGCAGACAAATAGGTTGATATTTTTGGTATCATTAAAGGAGTTATCAGACGATAAAAAATACAGTATTACACATTAAACTATTGATAAATTATTATCAATTTTTTTAGATTTACAAAAATGGCCTCCTAGCATTAGACAGTATTTCTGAAAATAATTTGCCACCAGCTTATCCGGTCAATACAAGTATCACAAATGAACGTTTGCAAGATTTTGATGGACGATATTTAAGTATATTCAGTTCAGTGAATGATGGCAAAAGTGGGAAAATTCATGTCACGTAAGTAATCCGTGCATTATTTTTGGATGAATTGGTAGTTAGTTCTGACAGTATTTAATTCAACTGAGTTACATTGGCATAAGCATCCAATTAAAGATGATTATCAAACAGTTATTCGTTACGGAAATAATGGTATTCGGTTGATCATGTGTACTCTGACTCAACAATAGGGTATTCAACGTCTAAATATCTAGCGTATTATAAAGATGTATTCTGATTGGAAAGCATTATGGTAATGTGTAACGATTAGTTCATACAAAATATTAAGGGACTGGTCATCACCTAACTGTGTACAATTTCTATCCACTTCAATGGAAGAAAGGTTTGATTTGGTGCTTCTAAAGCTGAATTCAACGAATCTACACTGTGAAACAAAAATATCAGCTAAATACTTGAAGTTCATAAATCAGTGAAAAATTCAGTTAACATTTTAAACACTCTTGAATTTCCCTTCGATGAATAAAATTCATATCACTTAACCAGGTTGAGGAAAGTCAACGGTGACCTAAACCAGCTTTCTATCCTACTGCATTGATTAATTTGTATGTGAACACATTTATGTGCAGAAGTATTCGAACTATGTGATCAATTATAGTAGAAGAGCATCAGAATAATTTCATAATTAAAAGATAGAAAACGCTTTGCTAAATAGAAGAAGTGGAAGACAATGCTTATTAGTTACAAAATGTATGAATGAAACACTCCATAACATTGCCATTACAATGGCTTTTAAAGCTGATATAAAAATTTTGTAAGGATCGAACATTGGGATTTGATTTTATTTGATTGATTTTAATTCACTGTATGTGAAAAAACACTTCTCTACATTTATGTTGTTATTTCTGCAATATAAAATTATATTTCTTCTTGTATTTAGAGAAATCGATTTACTATCAGCTGCGAAACTGCCATGTATAGAGAGCATGCAAATAGATCGTCTAATAAAGTTTATGCATTTATCATATATTGAGGAAGCTGAATTAAAGGCTCAATATGTTGTACATATATTGTGGGAAAATATGACCAATGCTTATCTAACCAATCAGAAGGTAAATTTCCTTGTAATTATAGTTAATCATTTATATCTAAATTGGCATCTTTCAGTACCACTCCAGGTATATTAGTATTTAAGTTTTAAATTTTTTTCAAAATAACGCATGCTGACTTTGTATATCCTTTCTGGGAGTTTAGTGTTGCTATTGAAGAACCTATTGGACTTGATAAACTGAATTTTATTAAAAGCTCGGAAATATAACTACTTTAAGCTAGCGAAATCAAATTTGGAGATTATTTTGAGTTAAAACCTAAAATCTTGTAAATTGAAAGCCTCATCAATGGGCTTTTGTTATTTTACTGGTGCCTATTTTGAAACCCTGTATATCTTATGGCACCCAGGTAAAAAGTGAACAGATGTGTTGTATATTGTGTGACTATTGTATATTGTGACTATCGTTAGACACTAGGCATTGTATTCATATTTTAAGTTCCCTTTGAAGAAATTTTTTCATCATTATGTCTTTGAAAACACCGAGATTTAATAGCTCTTGACTGCATAGTGTTAACAAGCTGGAATAATATTAGGATGTAAAGTTAATTATCTTCAAGTGACCGGAAATAAAACACAAAACAAACATCACTGTAAGAGTCAAATAACAATACCATTGTAGAAATAGTCTAGCCTCAAACTTGTCTCTTTTAAAAATGGCAAGATTTTAAATGAGTTTAGTGGATTCTGAACAACTTAGCAGCTTTATATGCTAGTCCCAGGTTTTATTTTATAGTATGACTAACGATTTGGACACACTAAATCTTCAATTATGAAACTCCTACTGATGAATTAGTACTGTGATTAAAGGATGGTACGAGTAAGCTGATAAAAGTGAACTGATAACCAAATAAAAAGGAATCACTCAAAGCAAGAATAGAACAGTTAAACAAAGACTTTTGCTGAGCGATAAAAAATTGTTCGAAATCACTGTAATGTAGAAATATTTCTAGTTCACTTGAATAGCTTTGAAACGATCAATTATAAAATCACTGATCTATAGTAGAAGAAGCAGACGTCAACCATCATATCAGTTCCGAACGCATAGTTGGAGTACGACTTTTTAAATAGAAGCAAGCGTAAAAACAATTGAGATAAATCAGTTAAATTTATTTGAAATCGAACATAAATGCTAGGTGTATATTACATTAGTTGTTTGAAACTTTTCCTTATCATATTCCAAACGTTTATTATAATAAGATCAAAGGACATTTTATTATCTTTTGGATGAACTTGATAAAGTTTCTTAAAAGCCACAGCTAATGACTTTGGATTTAAGCTTTTTCATTAAAAACTTTTTTTATGGATGTGACATCTTATGTTATGCCTAAATACAGCTGGTATAAGACCATAGATTTTATAATTTGAAATTGCTAAAGAATATTAATAATCACAAAAAACTGCATGAAATACAATATCACTTGTGTAGTATATGCACAAGTAACATAAAAACAATGCGCTACAATCGCAAATCTGTTAATAAATAGAGATGTTAGTAGGTAGTTGATCGTAGGGCAACTTTTTCACTTCTTATCAACAATTTGACTATGAATGTAAACATTGTGCTTAAGAAGTTTAATAGTATTGAACTAACTTGGAGTGATGACTTTTCTTAATTTAACAGTCTAACACTTATGGAATGACAATCATTTCTAATGGAATACGTTCTTATGCATTTATGCAATACATACAAATTGAATGGAATGAAAATGATGTTGCAGAGAATCTGGCTTTACCACCTGAATCTGGTATATTTATGAGACCATTAGGAGGTTATCAGCTGCCAAGAAGTTCGCAAGCTGTAGAACCAAATATATGGTCAACGTAAGTAAATTATTAAAATATTTGACAGTAATTGGATACTTTTCAAGATTTTGTATTAATTGAATGACTCAAATAATTTTTTAGTTAGTTGGTATTTTTTTACCACATGTTATTCTCAAATTTCAAGCAATATATTTTGCACATTATCATTTTTGTGTGGAAATTTACAAAACTACATACAGTTCTATGCTTCCATTAAAGTTATTTCTTATATTAGATTTAACATTTGTTTACATAAAACACTCGCAGTAAAATAAAGAACTATATCTGCTCTGTGTAAAGGTGATTTGACACTACATGCTGATGGAGAAATATTGAAGACAATGAAAAATCGACACTTGTTTGGTTCTAATTTCGAACTTCGTTGTTTAGTAAATACAAAACAAAATGTTTATTTTTTCTTCAATTGTCTAATGTCACACCCTAGAAAGGGATTTAAATAAAACAAAATATATCATTAATTAATCATGTCACTAGATATAATTTTCAACTTTTTGTCTTATTTTTTTTCCACTACAGTGAAACTAATGTTGCCTTACATGGTGAATGGCTTGTTCCTTTATACAAATCAGAAAGTATAGCTAAAACAAATGTTAAGAGTTTAAATAAAGTTGCCAGTGAATTCATTGTATCTATGAAAATTGCTTGCAACTATTCACTCGATACGGATAACAAAACAATGTCTGATACAATTGTTATCAGTAATGTAAACGTTGAAACTGCATCGGAACAATCGAATGCTAGAACACAAAGTTTTAGAAGAGATCTAGAAAATTTTGAAAATGTTAACCTTAACATTTCAAATAATGATTATAATTATGAAATGACTGAAAGTGTACCAAAAGCTGCATGGAATATCCTACAAGATGAAACTGAATCGTCAGGTATTGATCCACTTAATCAGAATGAAATGAATATTCTACCAGGGAATGAAACTGGAAATAACTTTGATCATGAAAGTTATCAATTTAATGTTGATAATAAAGAACATATACCTGCAGACACAATTACAACTCAAAGCTACTATCCTATGGGTTTGTATGATGGAGATGAGAAAAGGCAGGCCGCCCACGAACGTGAGTGCACATTTATACCAAATTTAATGTACTTTTTAACACTTAGATTCTTAGTTGTTAACTATTATCTCTTTCCTAAATAATCATAGGATACTTTCCAAAAATATATGATTAAATAAAAAGTCAATTTTCATTTTATATATAAGAAAGGATTGGAAATTTTTCAGAATAATTGTCAAGATTCTATGTAATTGCATCTTATTTCATGTTTATGTTTTCGGTATTCTTTCAACACAATTGACAGATTATTGAGTTTGCACAGTTTCTGCAGACATATTTTAACACTATCACAATTAGCTTATCATGATGACTTTTGTGAGATTGAAATTACGATTAATTTAATATTATTTGTTGCATACTGTGTATATTATTTCATATACAGCGAAGCATTCTTACTTTTCTGGATGATTAAAATATTTCTTATTTCTTCTGCTTTAATTCAACAACGTTTTATTGGTTTATTTTGCACTAGCGCTTATTGTACCAGTTACAATACATCCGCTGAGTGACGACGATGATGATCTGGTCGATGATAACAGAGAATACAGTTATGCAAATGAAACCATTTCAAACAATCTGGTGAAATGTGATGCTGTGACGGAGTGCAGTAGCCATAATACCGAATGCTATCGAATTGACAATTCTGCTTGCTGTGTATGCAGTGATGGATTTTTCGGTGCAGGAAACGCCAAATGTTGGTCTGAAGGTTAGAAAAGCATGTTTTTGTAGTACGCATTTGCACATTTTGCTATGCAGTGAAACGTTGGTCTGTGATTTTAAGTGAGTGTCTGGGTTTACACTCAATTAAACACGATTGTCTCATAACAATAGATCAACGATTTTAATATTTTGTCAAAATGGTTTTTTTCAAAACCCATTCCAATATCTATTTTATTATTCGGTAGGCAAACTTAAATGAAGTGGTTTTCCAGCTAAAATTATTTCAAACGTTCCTAATAAATACGTTAAATGTAGATTTTCACTGCGCAAACTTGAAAATTTTATCAAACCGTACTAAAACAACGTGATATGCTGTGATAAGAAGTTGTGTCAAAGAAAAATCTACTTAAATTCTTACCCGATATTGAGAAGGTTTATGATCAGTTGATGAGTAGATTCCAAAAGGAATTTTACTCCTAGGAATATTTCCGCTTGTATTTTGAAAAAATTCAATTGACCTCATAACATGTAAATGATAATCTTCGTCAAAATATTAAACTGCATCAGTTGTAAAGGTATTTAGCCATTCTACCTATAGCTTTGACGGTGCAGATTTTCATAAAACAATCGTAACTCAAAACCAGGAGGTTTTGATAGAGCAACGAGCTAACAAATATCTATCATTAAAGAAACAAATCTTTAGATCTTTACTTTATAATAACAATATTGCTTAGATAAATGTAATCGTAAATTAAATGTTGATATTTTAAAATTTTATTGAGATCTCCGAATAATTTATTATTTGTAAAAGCTAATGTATACAGCCAGAACGTAATTAATTGCCCCAGATTTATATAATATCGTGATGCATCAGAGACAAAAAATACAAACATTTCCGTTAGTCCTGTCGATTAAAACACCGACTGTTTTGACATTGAACGGAAAACTCTGTAACATCAGTCACTACATTTCCTTTCTCCTGAATTAAATTATTCAGCCAACTGACTTAAATTATTTTATATAATGATTCAGTTGTTTGAATTACTGATCGTGTTCAACATTCTGAAAAATTCTAAAGTATGAAGAGTCTTTCCGGTAGCAGATGCGTCTGAATACGTCTGACTGAATATAGAATTTCCTAATGACGAGTGCATAACGTTAGTTTATATTGATGATAGTTACGATTCATCAGCTTTCTTAAAACATCAGTTACTCCAAATATTCTTTAACCATCACAAAACTCTGGTCATGCCGCTAATACACAATGTAGCTTGTATGACTGTATCATTATTGCTCTTCCCATCACCTAGAGTCTTTTGTTCCTAAACTATAAATCATATAAGAAATACACATTAACATGAAAAAAAATCAAACATATATTACCAATTAAAAATTATGCATATTGTTCGTAAGTCTGCTTCTGTTGAAAATAAAAGTTAAAATCTTTTTCAATATATTTAGTTTGCTTTATAAATGACAAATTTATACTAAATATTTGTGCACATTATAAAATATGTTTCCTTTGCTTTTTGTATTTCAGTCAATGATCATAAATTTTCTTTTTCTGGCTCACTGAATGCACGCTTTGGTAGCGAGCATACCAGTTCACCACTGCTAATCTATCTGGATATTCAACATGGTTCACTAAGACGAAGTTCTAGTGGAATTCGTGGTGGTCAGACAAACGACAGAATATATTCAACCATACGTCTAATTACACCTGTTTTCCATATTTTAAATGCAATGATTTCAAGTCCTTGTGAAAATGCTCAAAAAAACGAACGTGTTTATAATCTTTTCACATTAGGAAGTGGATTACAACGTCCTTTCAAGCTGTTATTCCAGTTTGATATTGAAAGAGTTGGGAAGTTTACAATCGAAGCCGTACTTGAACTACATGATTTCACAACAGGAGAATATGCAAATGGTGTAGTACAGTTGGAGGCGTTCAGCACGGAAAATTTAAATCTACTCGACCGGTCCTATACTGAGGCTTATAGTGCTTCTGATAAACCAGATAAAACATATTACGCTAATTATAAAATTGATGATCTTGGCCGCATTGTATTTCCTGAACAAGTTGTTAAATTCATCGTTGAGCATCGTGATTCAAATAAAATAAGTAGTTTTCCTGAGGAAATTAATGTACAATGGTCTGCTGTTGCTGAATCAGACAGTTGCTTACTCAAACAAGTTAGCTCTGTACCTAAGAATAAATGGTATTATATTCGGCTTAAAGATCGTGGCTACTGTAGTGAGGACTGTTCATCACCAGATGGTGCATGTAATCTCTTCTGTGTCGATGAACCTTTATTGTTAGCTACAGAACCGAGTAAGTTAGGATGAAATTCTTTGTTACAGCAAGCATACTTTAATGAAAATAATTTTAGTTGTATTTTTAAATTAAAAAAATATTTTCGTAACTTAACTTCTATCCACTTTCATCAAACAAGCACTTAAAATATAGTATCTGATGTCACCGTTCACAAATCGAATCACAGACTTTGCAATTACAATTATCATCCGGAAGTTATCGGAAAATAAAATATAAAAGATGATGAGCTAGTGCAGTCTCATATCTACACCAAGATAAGCTCATACTAAACAGCAAAGTTTCTAGCATTTCTGTCTGATATAATAAATGCATTGATCTGAAATGTAGTATATAAATGACATTAGTGAACAAGAAAATGTCTATCCAAACTTTATTCATAAATATGATTTGAATCAAAATTTAAAATTCAAAAAATGAATGATATTGAACAGAACTAATAAATATCTACCGAATAAACTTTGTATTCTAGAACAACAAAAAACAGTTATGATATGTTTCCTGGAGTTAACATCAATAAATCGCTTTGATTAATTTACATAAACAATGAGAAATCAAAGTGTAACAGACTTATATTCTACAAAATAATCAAATATTTTTTTGACGTTTTATCACACAATAACTTATTAAGATTTATGTATGAGGATGAAACATCAAACTAGATAAATGGCAGAATCAAAGATAAACGGCGATAGAAAGTAGATTGTTCTACTCTATGATTAAATTAGTATTATCAAACTAAATATTTTGTAAGTACAAACACTTTCTAAACATCTAAAGGAGATTCAGTCTAAGTAGGACCATGGCATTAAAAAACCTGAACGTTTGTCACTCAATTTGTATGGAACACCACAATGGCTGAGTCAAAGGTAAACCAGTGATGTTGTTTCGACGACATTTTTGGCTGTTAGACGGTTGCAGCTAGTCAACAAGACAAACGTGACATTGGTCCCTTCTCATGATCATTTTCCTATTTGTAACTCCCCATGTAAAATATATAAATGCATTAAGTTTTGACTTGTACCCGAATTTGTTTCAAATTCACTGAAGCCTTGAATTCGTGAACACTTGTATGGATTCTTGATAGTAAATTACAATAAGACTGTAGTATTATGAGAGTAGTTTAACGAAGAAACTGTAACTCATTCGATGAATCACCTTGTAGAGAAATTCGTCATTTATTTTATGTGATTTCCTATCAGTTATTTAAATTGTTAAATTGTTTTTGGCAATGTTTGGTTAGATTAAATTTCATGTTAGTAATGTAATTTAGCTCGATCTGCAAAGCTAATATTCTTACAGAATTGATTCGTTGGACTGAATTAATTGATTTAGTTGTCATTGTATATTTTGAAGCAATTTTTTAAAAACTTTAAATCGTTTGCAGATAAATTTTATTTGAAATTTTTATGGAATTCTATTTATGACCTTACAGGTCCGTGTGACTGTGTCACGTGTGATCGTCATGGTGAAGTGTGTCAGCCAGATGGAACGGGTTATAGATGTGAATGTGGTGAAGGCTTAAAGCTAATGTCTGATAACACATGTCAAGGTGAGTTATGCCTTTCTTTGAACCTGTAGTGTGCACTAATATAGCCAAACCTATAAGGCTTGCCTCAGACTCTGGACAAACTAATTAATTCATTCTTAATTAGGTAAAAGATTTATTTCATAGTATATTCAATTGTTCTGAGAAATTCGAATCAGATCTCGGATCACTAAAAATCCTAACAGTAATGTCTAAGCCCTAACTGAAACTATGTGACTTGGGATTGAAAATTAGATTTATATACATATATTGCAAAGTTTAAGGTTGGAATGGAAAGTCGTGTTACCGTGTAGTAAACTCCAGGACGTGGTACGTATATCCATTCACCGCTTACCTTGAAAAGCGTTGCTCTCTGATGTAGGCGTAGGCTGGAATCAGGCTAGGTGTAGACTACAAAGTTAAGGCCCACAAGACAATCGTAACCAGTGGTTAGAGACTTTGAATGACATGAACCTGATCGTTTGCAAAGGTGAATATCCATCAGTCTCCTTTCTTTGCCCATATTCTGATTTGCTAAATTCTTCACGAACTTTTTCTTTCTTTCTTAAATTTATTTTACAAATTTATATTCTATTGAACCATATTTTCGGTCCTCAGTGTTTTTCACTACCACTAATACTCAAAAAACCTTTACTACCGTGTGATTCCATCCGTCTGTGCTAATTTGGTTCGGCAACTTGGACCGATGTTCAAGTGAACTGATACACGTATCAAGTTCGATTTACAGAGTTTTTTTTTATTATTTGAAGTGTATTTCTTACACCGTTAATTATAAGAAACTGATACTAGAAATCAATAAAATGAGACAATAATGTCCTAGTTTTACATGTTTCAACATTTTAAGTTCTAGAATATTGGAGTATTCAATCACGGGAAACGTGTTCAGATTGAGAAATAATCTACAGTCATTAAGATCAGTAACCATCTATCTTTTAACTGATTTATGAAAAAATTATTAATTTCTCGATATTAACAAATACATGCACTTACTAAATAGATCTTTGTTCAATATAGTCAGTATACTTCTACCTAACATGTGAATCATTCGTTTTTGTAAGAAGTCCTTCTAAGTGAATACCAGTCAAAATTATATTTCGCAATGTTATGAACATATCTGACATCAATATCTATTCATCTAAAAGGTTATTATGTAAGACCTAAATGACATTTTAAATATCGGATTCTTGATTACACCAATCAAACATATTATTTTTTCACTAATACCACTGATAACTCGTACTATTAAGTCAAACTAAGTAAGGACAGTGAATAAAACAATCTTTCTTCTTTTATTGCTAAATGTTCGAGATGATTTATCCGGTTTTGTGAATGCCCTTCATAAAACTAAATAATTAATAGCTTTATATTGAAACAACTATACTTAAGTCTATCAAATAAAGGTCGCGGTTTTGCAAAAGAGAATGAAAATAAATAAGATAAATGTATAGAAATTAAAAAAAACACTTTGAGGTCATTCATTAAAAATGCACTAAACAGTACATGAAAAGGTAATTTAAGAATATAAAATATAAAACCATAAAACAAGAGTGATACTAATACCATTTAAATAGTGAACATCGTTAGTAATATGTCGAATAGAAAAAATATCGCTACTGATTTGTGATAACTATAAATCAGGTAGAAACGAAAATTAACCTGAAATGTACTGTTTCGTATGTGTTCATTAGTTGATAGAGAACTTTAACTACTTTTTGTCATGATCAATATTACAAGTGCTAGGTTTCACAGTGGATAAATTGTTTGATGACTTACGACGTTCGATTGTTGAGATCACACAAAATAGCTGATGTAATCCGCATACAATTTTTCACTTACTACAGAAATACCTGCTAACAGATTATGATATTGAGATGGTGGAGAAAAAATTTGTAACTCAGATGAATGATTACGATGGACTTTCGTTCTCTGAGCTAGATGTTTTGGTTGTGGAGCTTTTATTGTTCTTCAGAACAATATCATCAGTACATACTTCAAAAGAACAATGAAAGTTCCACTACCAAAACCTACAGATCAGAGAACGAATCTCCGCTATAGATTGGGTAATGTTATATTTCACTGAAAAGTTATTATTAGTGTATTGTAACATTACATGTTGAATCTTTTTTTAAAAGTATTTTTTTATTTCTATTTTAAATTTGCATCTCGTTTATTCAATCAATTTCACGGATTTGATCTTATAAGCCACTTCAGCAATGGATGGTAAGTTAACTATTAACTAATAAATCAATGAACTTACTTTTTGCATATTTTATTTCAGTGTAGTCATTTTCATTAAACGATAATTTAGTCCGTTCTTTTTTTGCATCATTCATAAATCGATAATAAGTACTCATCATTTTTATCTATGGCGTTATCTTTTTCGATTTCGATCTTTACGATGAAGATGTTAGCAAATACAAGCTCATACATACTTTTAGCTAAATAATAATTCACCTAGCTAGTGTAGAAAAAAGGAGGCGTTTCATACCGCACGAGTTACATTTCAATGTATGTCTGAAAAAACACTTCGAAATTGCTATTATTCGTTTCAAATAAGCAAAAATATTTCATTTGTTGAAATTAACAAATTAGAAACTGCCCTTGAGACAGTGTTTGTACGATGTTTTTAATCTTATTTTTAATGACTAATCCTAGGTATGGTGAATTATCTACATTAAAAGTTTATTGTTTCGGATTCTTTCAAAGGTTATTATTCCCAACATACATCAGTTTTATTTTAATATAGATTATAAAATAAGTTTTAAGCATAATCGTCAGCAATATTTTGTTGGACATAATTACATTTTTGATTAAATGTTTTAAAGAAGAAAATCTCTTTCGTAAATAAAAACATTCAGCTGATAATACTAGAAGCTCATTACTGTTCTTATTTTTATTGAGACATTGTAACTTGGTGTATTCATTGATTTACTTTGCGAAACGCTGATGTTTACCTCAATGTATATTTTTTTTAGTAATCAACTATCTCGGTGTCCAGTGTGGTTCGGTCAACTGTCATGCTAATGCTCGCTGTGTCGATCCAAATCAAGCGTTTTGTCAATGTTTACCTGGCTATAGAGGTGATGGTGTTAGTCATTGTGAAAATGGTAAGATATACTTTAAGCTCATTAGTATTATTAATAAATAGATTTCTTTTAATAAAATAACACTAAACATTTTTATCATCTCCCTGAAAGTTAATGTGTTCACCGATGTTTGTTCTACGAATCGTGCGAAACCTTTTACATGCACTGTTGAGATACATTTCTCGGAAAAGCAGTATCTGTTCATTCAAGTATTGGTACGTTTAATAGGACATGTTATTTTCCGTATCATAGTCCATCTGTTGAGTTGAATTGCTCCAACATGTCCAATTCTCACAGTTTACCTATGGTTATTGTCATATTTTTATTAATTTTATCAAGTATATTCACCACGTCAAAACCAAAGGACTAGTAAGCAGAGCTATTTTACTATCTGTATCGTAACTGTAATTAAAAGTGTTCTTATTTTAGTTATCATGTCCTTTGTATGATAAGCGGTATGCAAACGGGTAAAAGGTGAAGGTTAACCCTACAACAGCTTGGAAACAAACAATGTAATAAATAAAAATCTTGAAAATCTGTTTAGTTTGTGTCTTCATGTGAATCTTTACAATCAATTCACTGATTGCTAACAAAGCAGTGATCAGTTCAAAATTATCCTTAGCTACTTGCTGACCAACTGCTATTGAACCGATTTCAGTGTTCCCATGAATCTAGCAAACACTATTTCTGAAATGAAATTCCACCATACAAAGTTTTCATAACTCTCTTACTAGTCAATAAATAGTTTGTTAACTTTATACTGATAAGATTCAATTAATTTGGTGAATCATATCTTTTACAATTATGATAATCACTTCATCTACGCTCATCTTCCAATTATTTTTTGCATCATTTATAACTATCTGTACAAATACTTTCAAATATATGACAGAACCACTTGACGAATCACTTGTTGATTGATTATAGTTTTATTCTTATTGTAAATCATGTATATATAAGTGTAGAAGTGTGAAGAAAAACTCGATGGAAAGAGCACTTCTAGATTATCATCATCATATTCATAACAGTTTGAAATTACTTCTGTTGCTTATGTTAATAGCCACCATGTGTGATGAAAGTTTATTAAAGTAAACAATTTTCTGGAAGAATAATGACTAGAGATAATGGGATTATTAATTTTAGAATAGAAAACATTGCAGTTGTAAGTTAGTGTAGAACAAAATTAGTCTCATGGAAGCAAAATAGATAACTGAATGTACTTAAAAGATTTTTAACACCAGGCAAACCTGATTCTAACATTTAAATGTATTACTCAGTTTTCTAATACAATTACTTATTTAGACCTGTTACACCTGATGAAGTATAGGCTACCGATCAGCATTCTCTAACGTACTCTGTCCTTTCCAGTTCTACTCAATTTCTATTCATTCTTTTGAAGTCTGTCTACAGTTCTTGACGTAATATGTTCCTTGATCTATCTCTTTTCCATTGTTCCAATAAAGTTGCAGAGATCAATGACAGACCTGATAATTTTTGAACTCCACTCCATGAGTTTTTCATCGGACGATATCGACACATTTTAACAAATCTTAGCAAGCATATTTTTGGCGCCCATCTCACACATGTTAAGTATCTTCATTCAGTGTAAATAATTTCGAATTACAATTTCAGATAAACTGAAATATCCTTAGTTCATGAATTAAAAAATCGTTTATATAAGAGTCAAAACTATCATCTAACAACGAATTATTCAAGGTTAAATAATAAGTAAATTTACAGTTTTATTGTTATGACTGATTCAATATAACCCTAACCATTCTGCAGCTAAATTGTTTAATACTAAGAAGCAAATCATTCAAAAAGTTGAAAAATAGTATGCGATTGTTTTTCTTTCAATAATTGTTAATAGTGTTTATTACCAAGTACAATAAGACATTTTTTATTATTAGATTGCCTAAGTTTTTTTCAATAATTAACTGATCATAAAATAATTACTTTATTACACTTATGTTATACAATTTTCAAATATAAATTAAAACAATAAACATTCAGAGAATTTTACCTATTCTGTAACATTTAAATCTATTGAAATGAAAGAGGGAATAGATATTATTCTATTAAGCAATTCAAACGATACAATAAGATCACCGTTAGAAACCTGGAAACACTGGACAGCCGTTTCGTCCTGGCATGGGACTCATCAGCAGTGCGCAGCCACGACTCCTGCACATCGCAGGACTCGAACCTGGGACCTTCGGTATTGTGCGCGAACGCCCTGTCGAGTGTAGGCAGTAACTACCAAAGACAAATGGGTGAAGTCGCGCGAAATCCAGAAATCAATCAGAGTTGGACATTAACACCGTTGGATGCCGGCCCAGTGGTCTAAAGGTTAGGCGTTCGCGCACAAAATCGAAGGGCCTCGGTTAGAATCCTGTGAGGTTCAGGAGTCGTGGATGCGCACTGCTGACGAGTCAGCATACCAGGACGAAACGGCTGTCCAATGCTTCCAGGTTTTTAATGGTGGTCTAACAATGATTGATTGATGATTTCAAATGTGTAAAAACACTAATCCCCAAAACTCTAACTGAAGATATAATAAGATGACAATATCGATTCCAACCTAAAATAATCATGATGCAAGTAATTAGCTTTACACCATAATGAATATCGGTAATCATTTTACAATTTTTAACAATGTACATATAACTGAGTCTTTAATCACAAAACATTATTTATCTTGATGAAAATTAACCAATTGGAACAAATCGCAGCTCAGTAGGTATTTATCTTTTAGCAAAAGAAATATGCATCATATATTTCAATGTAGTATTGTTTTGATATAATCTTCATCATAAATAACGTGTATGAAATATTTTTCACCAAACAGTCATGTGGCGCCAAAGTTTGGTTATGGCGCTATTTATATAAGATTGAGATCCATTCATATACATATATATATATATATATATATATATATATATGCGTACTTGTTTATTCAGAACAAACCCTATATTACTCACAACAAGCATATTCATATAACATTACTGTAGTGAATCAACAGGATTTATTTCTTTTTCCTTACTTATCTATGAATACTCTAAAAACAATGAATTACTTACATAGTTTAAAAGGATATTCAGTAATAACTGGAGATTGGAGTATTTTGCTAAACTTATCTCGAAAATACTTAGTCACATATATGTGAGAAGTATATACGGAAAAATTATTAAGTTTAGCAAGGGGAAAACGAAAGAGGTCAACGGGAAAAATGTAAGAGGGATTTTGAGACTTCGAAGTACTAGTTTTATTGGAAAAACTTTTCAAAAAAATACATGCCGAGTAATGCATTATGTTGAGGCATATTTTAGCATGGTTCCTAACGCTGTCCTCGTTTGCTTACATTTATTATTGACAAAGGTTACCTAATTAGGGTCCTTAAAAAATTCAGAAATAGATGTTATCTTGAGATAACATCGTCTAGTAAAACAATGAAAAGCTTAGCGTTTAGTTAATCATAGCTTTCATCAGCTGTTCAGTAGCTGACAATTCACAATCAAAGTTATCTCGAGATCAACTTTACTAATTGCACATATTTTACGGAAATAATAATGCTAATATCTATCGTCAAGTAGTGCATCAAATCAAGTGCACTTAGAATTTGACAGTCTGTACATGTTTACTGTGATTGCAACGCCTAGTTATGCTAAGTTGGCTTCAGTGAAATATCGTCAGTTGCCTATGGTTAACAACCCTAACAACATACGGCATAACATGTGTCCACGGATCCTGGTTTTTCATGCGATATCAGTCCATGTTTTGAATTTTTCTTTTTATATTGTTACTTACAAAACTTATATAAAAATCTTTTACACTGTGAATCATTCTATTTTAAATGCCTTGAATAGAAACAGAAAATCTTCATATATATAACAAAGCCTTAGACTGCAAAATGCTAGCAGCATAAATGAAAATATGTAAGATATATTTTGAAACGAAACGTATTTTGAATTTTACCTCGATCTAACAATCATACTGAAATCTGGTAAAATATTGTTTACTAAGATGCAAAAGTATCATGTACATGGGAATTTCTGTAAACTTTTTGCTGCTTATCAAAAATTTATTTATCCAACATCTGCTTCACACATCTGTAATATATGAATTGTTATTATCTTACCATCGTATTGTTTTATATATGCCTTTTTGTCTATTCCTCTGTAAAAGTGTAAATGGTTATGATAATAAAAAATGTCTGTCTGTTTATTGTAAGTTTAAATATTTTCAATTAGAGTTACGGAGATTAGTGTTTTTACACATCTAAAATCATCAATCAATCATTGTTAGACCACCTTCAGAAACCTGGAAGCACTGGACAACTGTTTCGTCCTGGCACGGGACTCATCAGCAGTGCGCAGCCACGACTCCTGACTCGGAGTTCTAGTGAGAAGACCTGACCAGGGGAGTTCAACCCTGTTGGGTGTAGGCAGCATCTACCAAAGACAAATGGGTGAGGTCGCGCAAAATCCCTAAATCATTTAGAGTTAGACACTAACACCGTTGGATGCTGGCCCAGTGGTCCGATGGTTAGGCGCTCGCGCACAATTCAGAATGTCCCATGTTCTAACCCTGCGATATTCAGGAGTCGTGGATGCGCACTGCTAGTAAGTCCGATACAAGGACGAGACGGTCGTCCAATGCTTCCAGGTTTCTAATGATGGTCTGACAATGATCGATTGATGATTTCAAATGTGTAATTTTGGATGTCTTCTATCTGAATCTCGATTGTAAAACAAGCTGATGATAGCAAATCGAAAGAGTATAAAGAAAAGATCCAGTTGATAAAAGTTCTAATACAAGATTATTACTATGAGTAGGATTCCTCGCATATCATTTACAGCTAGTCCAGTCAACAGAGTTACATAGCATGATCGGATGTGAATATTAATAAAATCTAATTTTGGGATTTTGATCCTGCCATAAAAGTGCTATGAACACTATTTTTCACTTCCGAGCAAGAGAATCTCACCTTTTTTTTAATTCTCATCACTATTCCTTCATAG